GGCTGCCTGTCTCTGGTGCTTTTAGGGCATGGAGTTCAAAGTATTGGCATCCCTAGGCGTTCGGATTGGGGATCCCCCTCAAAATCTCAGACTAGAGTTTGTGTGGAAGAAACTCGTCATGCCTTGCCAATGCTAAGCGCGTTGGAATGACCCAGTGCGCCTTGCATTGCCAGTTGCGCCCACGGTGATCAATCAAATCTTTAGCATGCAACAGGCCTCAGCAAGCAGTCCTCCATTTCGGGGAACCCTGAAAGGGTTGCTTCTCACAACCATGGTCACGGACCAGCTTTGCAATTGAGGTTCGAATTGCTTAAGTTCGTTTGACCAAGCAGGACCCAGCAATCAGGTAACCCTTCCGATCAACATGGAACCTGACTTTTTCTGGGTGTCCTGGTTTGAATCATTTTCAGGGCACCGTGTCCCGAACGGATACGGTTCCATGGTGTTCTTGTGAGCGGGGGCGTGGCTCCAAGAACGCTGCCGACAAGCTGGCCAACCAGCGGCCAGGCGCGAGCGGTCTCAAAGGCGCGAGACCGCCGAAGCGACCGGATCTGACCTTTTGGGGTTGCCATTTTGGTCCATTTTTAGCTGTGGCCCCGAAAGGGGCCCGCCTTTGCTTTCTAGGTGCTTTGGGCCATCCTCAAAAAATGAGAGCCAGCTTCCAGGAGTGATTCGGAGTTTACTCCATGTTTCTCCCAAGAATGGCGGGGGCGTGGGGGTTGGGACCCTAAAATAGTTGGTTCCCTGGTGGTTTTCCCTTGAACTACCAAGCAAAAGCTTTCCACGGAAGGGGGTACACCATTTTGAGAAGCTCTCGTTTGGATTAATGCGAGTGGGTGTTTGCCCACTGTGAAAGGGAACCCCCTTTAGTGACGGAATGGTACCTGGCCGTATGGCAAAAACTTTGTAGTTGCTATGGCTGCCACCTGTTCAAGACGATCTGATCTGAAGTTGTCTCAAGCTTCGGCGAACTTCAAAGTGGCAAGTGGTGTTTCCCGTTTTGCCCTTTGGCCAGTCTTTCATTGGTTGGTGGATTAGATTGGCAGCTTAGGGATTTGAAGTCCTGGTTCTGGAGGGTGCATGGGAAACCACCCCCCTAAAGTCCGAACCACAGAATCAAACCACAAGCGGCAAGCTGATATTAGAATCTATGTTTGAGTTTGTCTCAAAAAATTGGGGGACCCCAACAAAATGTTGGTCTTCCTTTGGTTTTCGTTTTAAGCCACCCTAGACAGGGCTTCCCGCAAGCCTTCCACAGGTTCGCAGGCGCCGGGCAGCGCGGGCCACGGCCCGAGGCACGGGCGCGGGCACGACGGCCAGAACTGGCGGGGCGACAACGGCCGGGGATCCCGGCCGAGTTTGGGTCGCACTTGTTGTTATTGGGGGGGGTGGAGAGAATGCTCAGCGTGCGTTTGGGTCGCACTTGTTTTTTTTGGGACCCTACGGAGAAAAGACAACCTATTGCTTAGAAGCTCGAGCAAACCTGGTTTGGACATGTTAATGTTTACTGTCATCTACTCGAAAGGGGGATGACATTGCTCATCAAAACCCTGTGCCAGTTGGAGCCACAATGCATATTGGCCGAAGCTCAAAAGGGATTGGCCCACAACTTGGCAACATCAAGTCATTAAAACCTCACTTCTCCGAAAGAAAGGGGCACCTACCTGAGTGACGTGCTGCCCGTGCCGTTTGGCCCATCGCCCAGGCTCCTCCTATGGCGACACCTACGGCAAGCCCGATGAGTCGGATGCGGATGCGGGCCAGGGAGGCGGCAAGTCTGCCTCCAAGGGCATGACGCCCAAGCAGCAGTACGTCCAGCGCCTCGGCGAACCCCAAGAGACGTGACTCCAACCGGTGGACGGGCAAGGCCGGCACCGGTTGGTGACGGTTGGTGGGTGGTTTATAGAATCGTATCGGATTTGTTTTATGTTTTTTTTTCTCGGGTTTAGCGATGCTTTCAGCGGGTCGGGTTTTCGTCCATCCGCACTATGATTGACTTGCATTTCTACTGCTACATCAACATAGCCTCCAAGGTTTTGACGCACCGTAATTTTGGTTGCAAGGGGAACCAGGCAACCAAAAAGAGCACCGGTCCTGCCATTGTGTGGCGCGATCAGATCCCGTTGACACATACCCATCTTGCTGGTGCTCATCAGATGAGGGAAGGACCTTGTGGTTTCCTTTAAGGGGACTTCTGAGTCCATTCCCACATTCATGTGCTGGGTCCAAATCATAGTTTGGGAAACCCTGATGTGTGATAAAAGTATGTTTTGGTTAAATGGCGACTACCGGATTTACCGGGCGCCCCAAATCGTATTCTGGTAGTTTGGTGTGTAGCCTCCTAGATGGGAGTCTAGTGCACAAGCTACCCCACAAGCTACCCTCCCAAGCCAAAAGCCAAATGCGCCTTGTGTGTTTCCCAACCTTGCGCAGTGACTATGTGGAGAATGCGAGACGGCTGGCCGAGGACCGTTTGCGCGGAGTCAAGGCTTTGATTGTGCTTGTTGGGGTGGTGTGAAATTGCTTGGGTGATGTTATAATGCTGAGTCTGGAGGACCGTGCTAGTCAGAGGAGCCCTCCCCAAACGGTAGGCGAGTTTCCCTGAAAGGGGACCACCCCTGATTTGTACGGTCCTCCGGGTAGTCCGAGGTTTACATTCCTGGATGTCACTTCCACTCATATACATAGTTTCTACCGCCTTAGACTGCAGTTAGGGTTGACAGAAACATGTCATCCATACGGATGGGCAAAACCCACAGTCTGGACGGAATCCTTATGAAAACTGCGAGATGAATTCTGTCCGTTCATACCTCCAACATCCGGTGTAGTCCTTCTTCCTTGAGATACGAATAGGTTTTGTCCAGTCCATAGGTTTCTAGTAGGCATTGTTGCATCGTTGGCAGGCCGCGAAACATTTTGAGCCGCGCCGGAAGAGGAAAACAACCGCGCCTTCATCAAAGGGCCCATGAAGCCCGTCGGGGATGACGACTTGGCTGGCAATGGCCTTCCTCCTCCGGTGCGGCCATTTCGGCACCTCGGCACCCAATCACAAACCTTGTGATATGTATGTGATCGAACTCTGCGTCTATATATGCAGGTGTATGCACATATGGTACACGCAGGTTTTGCAATTACTTTGTAGCGGTGTATCTCTATCTCTGTATTCTGTATTTGTATATATATATATATATCTATACGCATGCACAAATAAAAGCAATACATACACCTGCCCGTGAAGTGGTAAGTTTGTTTGACAGTGAACGGACATCGTTTTTATGTTTAAGCATAATCTGCTTGGTCAATTTACAGCCGGCTCTCCTTTTTCGCGGTTTTGTTTGAAAGGGAGCTACGTAGGTTGGCCATCTCCCGTGCTTGTGGGACTTAGTTCCGTCTATTCCACTTAACGTCCTGTGAAACCTTGACCCCTTGCAACTAAGTGTCATCTCACTTGCCCACAGCCGACCTTTTGACCAATGTGTCTTCCTGTTGTTGTCCACTTTTAGGTCCCAAAAGGTTAGCCCCAAAAGGTTAGCCGCTTATATCCAGGTCCTCTCGGCAGTGAGTCATTGACCAGCCAACTCAGTGCATGGGTCCACAAGGCCCATTTTCCCGGAGCCTCAGCCGCCGCAATTGGAGAATGGTGTGGCCTCCGTGGTGGATATGCCGGTCTACGAGCACCCCTCTACCATCACCGGGGATGAGTCGCAGCTCGCACGGGACATTTTTGGGGGCGGCAGCGGTATGGAAGAAATTTGCGTTAAGCTTTCTTAAGGGGTCTCTTCCAGGTGGTCGAACCGGTGCTTGTTGCTTTTTGCCGATTTGAATTGAGTTGCATTTAGATAGGTTGACGTTTTCAGGGGGAGGCAACGGACCTCAATCTCCTCCCGTTGCGCAAGGCCAACGGAGGCAACGGAGGCGACAGAGGCGACAGAGGCCTCTGGCGCAGTGCCTTGGCTGATGTCGACCTTTCAGGTGGCAAGCCCCTTGGTTTGGATTGGGAACCGGGGATGGCTTCCCCGGAAAACCTGTTCCAACCCAACATGGGGCAGGTACCAACGTCGAAAGTGCCGAGCCAAACCAAGCAGGGGCAACCCCGTATTCCATCCCGCTGGAACTGGCAGTTTCTTCAAGGGACCATCTTTCTTTGCGTCGTTGGTGTCAGGTAGCCGTGGCCTTCAGCTTCTTCTGGCGATGTCAAGGCTCTGTGCCTTTCTTGTGGCTTTACTTTCTTGGTGGGGTGCCTCGTTTTTGCGGCTGAATGCAGTGGAGTCTGTGCCCAGATAGGCTCTGGAGTGCTTTGGAGGGTTCCAGAGGTCCGGCGGTGCGGGGCTCTTGGGGATACCGCCTGGGCGTATTTGTTGAGGGGAAACTGGGGTGTTTTTTCTGGTTTGGAGGAGTACCTGTAACGGAAGCCACCCACTTTGGAGTTGGCGCCGCGCCAACAGGACGGCGCCGGCGGTTCGCGGCCTTCCTCGAGATCGCCTGACGCCTCCGAAGCCGTTTGCCCAAGACGGGCGGTCAAGCCCTGCACACCCGGGGCCAGGGTCTGGAGACGTCCTTGTCCCCTGTTCGGTGTCCAAACATCAAGCATCATGGTCCATGGTTGTGGGCCTTTGGAGTTTTCGCGCTTAACATCACCTTCTTGGGCCGCAGAAGTTCCCGAAAGGTGCTGGAAGGGGACATAGGACCCTGGAGAAAAGTTCCGGGAGCCGCCGCAAGTGTTGGTCGCGCAGCCAAAAAGCAACAAGTGCTCGGGATTAAAAACACATTTGTTTGCTTGGTTTTTGGTGTGACCGAATCACTCCTTTTGGAAAAAATGCTTTTGGGAACAACATGCTTTTGGAAACAAAATGCTTGACAAGGGGTACCAACTCCAACAAGGACCAACCACCCGCAGCCGGCTTTTCCAATACATATACACACACATATATATATATGCATACATATTTAAAGAGGTCGAAAGAGGCAGGCCTTTACTTTGCAAAAACACGAAATGGCAGGATCCTGGTCAGCTTCTACCTGGCCCTGGGGTGTGCATCTAAGAGGTGACATCTTCGGGGTCTGGGTCTGTGGGCTCTTTTCAGTTCACCTGGATCGCCAAGATGCGAAAGCCCCTAAAGACAGTCCACAGTCGCTGGGAAAAAGTGATTCGCAACTGGCAATCCAGGTGCCCTTTTGGGGTTGATTTGAAACCAAGGGAAAGAACAATCTATGGGAGTGCCCCATTTCAAGAGCAACCCAGACCCCGGGCAAGCGCAAACATTTGCAGAACCCCATGCCTAAAAGAACCGCGTTAATCCTGCAGATGATAACTGCTTCCCTTCCCACAATGCATTTTGGATTGGGATTACGGAAGCCCCCATGTTGAACAAGCGTCTAATTGACCCCTTCCGCCCCCAACCCGGGATCATGCGTCCCAAGGTGTGGCGCCTTGTACGAGTTCTGGCTCATGCGTTCTGTGCTCCGAGGGTACCGCAGGAGCCAATTCAAGCGCATGGCTTGCTGTGCGGCTGGATTCCGATGGCTTGTGCCGAAGCATCATGCGTGCTTCCGGTTCCGAATCCTATTCGTTACAAGCCATTTCGGGTCACCAGATTCTTACAGACTCCTTCCAGCCCCAAAGGTCACGAAGGCTACCTGGAGCTAGGCTGAAGATTTCGTTTACTTCAGCTTGCTGGAATTCTCACTGGTTGTGAGGGTCGTGGAGGGCCCCCCAAAAGGGCTGATATGTCAGGCGCGCCCAGTGAGCTCGAATCCACCCTGGACCACCTCTGCTGGGGGTAGTCATCTGTTCTATTTCCATTGGCTCGTTCAGTGTCAATAGATGCTTGAACTTTGATTTGCAGATCAAATAATCAACGCCATCCATCCATTGTAAAGCAAAACGCGTCGCGCAAATCTCACGCACGATTCTGTGTGTAGACGTGTTATAAACTGTCAGTTTTAGTTGCTTAATGTGGAAAGGAATCCTAGCGAGAGCCCCAGGGCCAGCTGTAATTCGAGAGACCCCACACACCTGTTCAAACACTGAAGCTTTTACCCACTATGCGTTCCCCAAAGATTCAGATGAACAATGCGCTTTGCTAATCCATAATCCCAGGGCCATCTTGGATTCAAGAGACCTCACACACCAGTTGAAACACTGGAGCTTTTACCCACCATGCGTTTCCCTAAAAATTCAGATGAACAATGCGCTTTGTTCGTTCTTAATGCCAGGGCCATCTTTGGTTCAAGAGACCCCACACACCTGTTCAAACACTGAAGTTTTTACCCACTATGCGTTCCCCAAAGATTCAGATGAACAATGCGCTTTGCTAATCCATAATCCCAGGGCCATCTTGGATTCAAGAGACCTCACACACCAGTTGAAGCACTGGAGCTTTTACCCACCATGCGTTTCCCTAAAAATTCAGATGAACAATGCGCTTTGTTCGTTCTTAATGCCAGGGCCATCTTTGGTTCAAGAGACCCCACACACCTGTTCAAACACTGAAGTTTTTACCCACTATGCGTTCCCCAAAGGTTCAGATGAACAATGCGCTTTGCTAATCCATAATCCCAGGGCCATCTTGGATTCAAGAGACCTCACACACCAGTTGAAACACTGGAGCTTTTACCCACCATGCGTTTCCCTAAAAATTCAGTTGAACAATGCGCTTTGTTCGTTCTTAATGCCAGGGCCATCTTTGGTTCAAGAGACCCCACACACCTGTTCAACCACTGAAGTTTTTACCCACTATGCGTTCCCCAAAGATTCAGATGAACAATGCGCTTTGCTAATCCATAATCCCAGGGCCATCTTGGATTCAAGAGACCTCACACACCAGTTGAAGCACTGGAGCTTTTACCCACCATGCGTTTCCCTAAAAATTCAGATGAACAATGCGCTTTGTTCGTTCTTAATGCCAGGGCCATCTTTGGTTCAAGAGACCCCACACACCTGTTCAAACACTGAAGCTTTTACCACTATGCGTTTCCACAAAGATTCAGATGAACAATGCGCTTTGTTCATTCTTAATCCCAGGGCCATCTTGGATTCAAGAGACCTCACACACCAGTTGAAACACTGAAGCTTTTACCCACCATGCGTTTCCCCAAAGATTTAGATGAACAATGCGCTTTGCTCATCCATAATCCCAGGGCCATCTTGGATTCAAGAGACCTCACACACCAGTTGAAAAGCTGAAGCTTTTACCCACCATGCGTTTCCTTAAAGATTCAGATGAACAATGCGCTTTGTTCTTTCTTACTCCCAGGGCTACGCGCTTCCCGAAAGACTAAAGATGATCAATGCACTTTGTTCATTCTTAATCCCAGGGCCATGTTTGATTCAAGAGACCCCACACACCTGTTCAAATACTGAAGCTTGTACCCACTACGCTTTCCCAAAAGATTCACATGAACAATGCGTTTTGTTCATTCTTAATCCCAGGGCCATCTTTGCTTCAAGAGACCACACACGTATTCAAACACTGAAGCTTGCACCCACTACACGCTTCCCAAAAGATTAAAGATGAACAATGCACTTTGTTCATTCTTAATCCCAGGGCCATGTTTGGATCAAGAGACCCCACACACCTGTTCAAACACAGAAGCTTGTACCCACTACGCTTTCCCAAAATAATAAGATGAACAATGCGCTTTGTTCATTCTTAATCCCAGGGCCATCTTTGCTTCAGGAGAACCCACACACCAGTTGAAACACTGAAGCTTTTACCCACCATGCGTTTCACTAAAGATTCAGATGAACAATGCGCTTTGTTTATTCTTAATCCCAGGGCCATCTTGGATTCAAGAGACCTCACACACCAGTTGAAACACTGAAGCTTTTACTCACTACGCGCTTCCAAAATGATTCAAGATGAACAATGCGCTGTGTCCGTTCTCAATCCCAGGGCCATCTTTGGCTCAAGAGACCCCACACACCTGTTCAAACATTGAAGTTTTTACCCACCATGCGTTTCCCCAAAGATTCAGATGCACAATGCGCTTAGCTCATCCATAATCCCAGGGCCCTCTTTGCTTCAAGAGTCCTCACACACCAGTTGAAACACTGAAGCTTTTACCCACCATGCGTTTCCCTAAAGATTCAGATGAACAATGCGCTTTGCTCATTTAATCCCAGTGCCATCTTTGATTCAAGAGACCCCACACACACACACACACCTGTTGAAGCACTGAAGCTTTTACCCACTACGCGCTTCCCGAAAGATAAAGATGAACAATTCGCTGTCTGCAGATTATGGGTTGCGTGGATTTTCGATGCAGGTTATGGGTTGCGGGTATTGAATCAGGTTCTGTGGCGCAAGCCTGACACCCTTTGGAAACGACTCAGATTATTTCAATCGGCTTTTTAGAGACTAACTTGGCTAAATGGAAAAGCTAAGCTTCCCCAAAGCTTGGAGTTTTAATGGGTTAAGTCCTATGTTGTAGGACCAGATTGCCCTGCAAGAGGCAGAAGCGAAACAACACACGATGAGATGGCATTAGTGAAGGCCAGAACTGACCACGGACAGGCCGATACCTTGCCACACGCTAGCTTTCGTTCCCTTTTTTGCAAGTTTCAGCTTCAACGGTTGCAGTATAGGGGGTGTAATGACCCGATCCTTCGACAAGGGACTCAGCTCTTGCGGCCAGAAAATTGGTAGGGAATTCCCGCCAGGATGTTCTCGGACTTTGCCATGGGCCGCCGCTACCATGGGGAGGACCGGCTCGATTCGTCGATTCGTCCTCTACGTACTGCAGGGAGGTCTTAGTGGGGAGGGCGTACCCCCCACCCAGGTGAATCCAATCCCCTTTCCATGTTCAAGGAAAACCATGCGTGGAGGGAGGGCACATCAACCATGCTCTTTTACCTTCTTGTTTTTTGCCAGTGGGAAACTGGACATCACAGCATCAATGCACACAACAGTTTCTCAAAATGGTTCACTCCCCCCTTTTGTTTGGCATTCCAAGGGAAAGAAAACTACGCTCCCCCCCCATTTTGTTGAGAAACACCCAGTAGACTCCGGAGAACTCCAAATCAAGAGCCCTCATTTTTGTTGAGGAATCTCCCACTCAGTTTGCCACTTTCAGGGTTCTCGGGGAGAGGGGTTGAGTTTTGCCCAGGAGCTGGTGCGAAGTGCAGGGCCAAGGACCTTCCATGCCCAATGGGCCACTTATTGCTGTGGAGCTCTCATAGGCAATGCAGCCTTTTGGATGCAACTAGCGCTGCTATTTCGCTTGATATCCTGAACCTTTCACCTGGAAAATGTGGGTCGGTCTCAATGGCTAGCCCCAATGGTTGGTTCTGTTGGGTATCCCTGTCAAACCAAAAGAGGGCCCCTTCAAAAAGACACCAAAAGTTGCATTTTCCAAAAAGCCATCGGCTAAACTTGTTTGGGAGGGGGGGAAAGCCACCAAGCCAACGAACTGTTTTCAGGATTTGGCTTCCTTTCAGCTTTTGGGAAGCGAACTGGACAAGAACAAAAACGGCCGCGTGAAGTATTTTTTGGGGGAACACGACCTCCGCAGAATGGGGCATTCCAACCGCTCGAGGCGATGGCTTTAGCTGCTGGGCTGCAGCTGGAAATGCCGTCAGCGTCCGGCTTTTCCCCTCGGAAAGCGTCTGCATGGTCTTTCTCTGGTCGAGCTATTGAGGTCTGGGACGAGTCTTTTGAAACATCGTTTGGATTTGTTTCGGTGTGTGTGTAGAAGAAGAAACCATGGGGTAGCAGTCCCTTGGCTCAGGTGCTGCTCATGTTTATTCTGTGGATGCTCTTCCTCGTGCGCCTCGGCGAAAAAGACACGTTAAATGGACCCCCCCCCCCTGGCTCCAACCACTGCTTGTTGGACAGTGCTTGGGGTTTTGGACATGGGGAAGTACGAAATCGCGATTAACAAGCAACGTTTCGGGGTGACGGATGTCACCCAAAGTGAATGTTCCTTTCCTTTCCCGAGGCCGCATGTCTGATTTTCGGCTCGGCGAACGGCTAGACTTTGCCCAAGGTCCTTTGATTGTCCGTTGGATGCCAGAGCTGGTCGGTCTCGGTTTGGGAGAAGAACAGGTCGGACAAGTGAAATGGAGGGGGAGAAAGATATGACACATTTTGAGCGGAGGATTGGTTGGCGTGCCAAGCTGGTTCAAGCACTCGCCCCCCTATGTTCGGGTGAGCTGAGCTTTCCTTAAGGGCGGGGCTTCCATTCAGGCAACCCTGAACAGGTCTGGATTGAAGGTTTTTTGGGGCAGCCTTTGGGTCGTTCGACCGAAATTGGCTGGCCCTGTGGTCACCCATCCCAATTGAATTCGCATCCAGGCTGAGCCTGCCACAGTTCTGGGAGATGAACTGGCAGCTGCGGAATTGGTGGATCGTTTACGTGCGGCACCTGGATCGTTTGCCGCCAACGGAAATGACCACCCTAAGACAGGGTTGGTCTCCTCCATTTCCCGTGTTGGAACCTCCAACAGTGGCAGTTTCAATGGAAACCTTGCAGGTAACAACGGTTGAAGGGGAATCCAGTGACCACTCCAAGAATCTTGGTGAAGTGGTTGCCGTTTTGAGGGCACAAACCTTCCAATGGTCCGATTCGACCCGGTGGCATCCCTGAAAGGCGCCGAACAGCAACCACTCGGAGCCACTCCGGAGCCTATCGGGCAGTTTCTGCCGCAACTTGAGCTGGGTACACGTGGAAATGCGAGCAGAGATACTTCTCACTTGCGTTTCTCAAGCAGGGTTTAAATCCCCAATCCAAACCACCAGCACATGGGTGGGTTCGTCCACATCGTTTCCAAAGATTCCAATACATACGCAAAACAACACATCACAGTGAGGTTTTCTTATCTAACCCTGTGATTCCATTTGCCCGTGTAGCAGGGAGCCAGCCTTTAAAGCCTTAAAGTCACATTGATAGTTACGCACTACAGAGGTAACTGGGATCCACTGGGTAACAAAACCACTTTCAAAACTATGCAAAAGCTGCGGTTCAGCGTTTTGTGCATCTTTTCGTTTGCGCGCGTCGCATCTCCAGGGGCTCACCTACATCACGCGCTGGAGCGTCTTCAAGTGCGGGCGCCTGGGGCGGGGCGAGTCCTCTACGTGAACGGGCAATTGCAGTCAGAATCCGGACCCCCTTTGCCGGATCTCGGCAAGGTGGGCCCTTTTACCAGGTTTGAGGGATCAGCGCGAAAAGGTCTAGACAAATGGACCGCGCGACAAAAGCGAGGTCAGTCCGTGGTTTTTCTGGGCGCACTTTGGAGCCCAGCCCTCCCTGGTCCTAACCATTGGCAAGCAACAGCAGTGCCTCATCCGATCCAACCGACACTTGGCGTGAGCTGCCTCATTTCATTTCGGCTTGTCTGAACAGAGGCCCGTTGGGGCCTCCAAATGTTTGCAGCCCCTTACTCCCTACAAATAGGAATACGAGGGAGCCTCCCCAAAAAAGATTCGTCTATATTGGCTGTTCGGGTTCCGTATTATCCTGCAGTGTAAACAGGTTGTTCCATGGCTCGGATGGAAGCCCAGGTTTGTCATCCCCCAGAAGGTGGTCACTGATGATGGGTCTGTGCTTCGCAGACGCGCCGCTCTGTGCAAGAAGTGTGTTGGTGTCCCCCAACTCATCAGGAATCTTGCGCTCTTGGCGGCCTGCCATGCAAGACTTTCGGGGCATAGCTGCAGAGCGCATGGCTGAATCTCAAGCATCAGCGCATGTGTTTGAATGTGAGGGGTTAAGGTTCGCCATCATCCTTTTGTTTTGGAAAGCGGGTTGGGGTCTGATTCACGTTCATTTTAAGCTAGCTGACAAGAAACAAATTCGAGATGAATGGCTCATGGGCACATGTGGAATGAAGCTATTTTAGAGCACCTGGGTTGATGATCCTACAAAGGCCCAATTAATCGTGTCTCTTGGGAGAAGCCAAGAAGCCAATTTTCACAACATCGCACACACACACACACATGCGCACACGCTTGGTTGGTTCCAATTCCGAGTTGAAACCCCGATGCTTTCCCCAAGCTTCGTCTTGGCCTCGCCACAGGTCTGGGACCTGGTGTTCCCCACCCTGACCCTTCTGAACTTTGTCTTGGGCGCCACCAGTCCGGCGCTTTCGGAAAATTTTGTTCGCGCCATGAAGATTCATGAGACCAAAGTGGTTGCATGAGGGCTTCTTTGAGTTACTTTTTGGCATGGGAAGCCCCTGGCAACCTGCATGTTAGCTTCTTCTTCTTGAGGAAGCCACTGGAAAACGGCCCCCTGACGCGCCGCTCGAAGGTGGGGTCATCCGAACCTTGGCCCCGCGCTCGAGGGAGGTTTCAGAGGCAGCGCAGTTATCCGACGGAGCGCCTCAGGTGGTTGCGCCGTATCTGCTCATTCATTTCTTCAGGACTGAGCTTAGGGAACAGCCCAAGCTTGTGGTTTCCCTGGAGCCTCTAAATCAGTGGTTCCCTTTGGCTTCACTTTAAAAGCTACCCAGAAGGATTCCATCAACAAAAGGACATCCACATGGCAACAGCAGCTCCTATGCTGAAGCTTTTCACCTCTTGCACCATGCTTCCTTTCCATGAGCGCTTCTCGGCAATCGACACTGCCATGCCACCCCTCGCTCGGCTCCTGGCTCCCCCAACTACGTACCGCGCGGGGGGCTGGCCAGGATAGACATCACCTACCTGCCGAGCGACCTTTGTGATTGGGACTGGTCATTCCAACCTTTCGTTTCCCTGGTGATGCATTCGCACAGGCTGGCATGACTCGAACGCACACAAGTTCAGTCAACGCATCCAGATGTGTCAAGCCAGTGGATGATGGACATTGGATCCGCCACCACGTCTTCCGGCTTGTGGCGGCTGACAGCGTGCTTCTTCTTATTTAACAAGCTCACCTCCTCAGCTCATGAACATGTTTCACCTTTTTGGGGGTTGGACCATTTTGGTCGCAACAAAAAAACAACGAGCCAGTGGTGTCGGGCCATCCACTCAGCCAGCTCAGCTCAGCTGAGTAAACCGCTGGGCCTCGGTCGCCGGTGGGTGGGGCGACTGCAGGCGGCTGAACCCCATCCTGGTGGCCACGGTGGCCGAGCTCGCCCAGGCGGCTCAGGCGGGCGCCCAGCTCCAGAAGTGCGGCTGGAGGCTCAGCGTCAAAATTGGCTGATTTTCCTACAAGGGGCGGTTTTTTTTTTGCATGTGTTTTTTTAGGTTTAGCTGGGTGGTTTTGAATATGTGTTGTTTTTATTCTCCCCTGGTGGTTTTAAAGGGAACCTATGACTACTGGAAGCATTTTTTAGTTTTTCCCCAGGGGGCTTAAGCAAATGGAAGCTCATGATGAGCACCGGTTGTTTGAGCTGGGTCAGCTTCAGTGGACCCGAAGAATTTTTGTTTTTTTGCGACGAAGTGGCAGGGATGGCGCAGACTTGGCATCACGTGTCACCCACGCCCTTGTTGGAGTTGGTGCCATTTGCAGGGTTGGTTTCAAGGGATGCCACATTTGGACTCGTCCCCTAAATTGCAACTTGTGGTTTGGTGGCGGGGTTCCTTGCCGGACCCAAAAATGGATTCAGCCGCAAGGGTTCGGATTTTTTTCTCCAGGGTAGCCAAACTGGGCTCTCCGTTTACGCGGGATATGACAACTGGTCACTTGCGAAGATTGTCTTCAGGGTCCCCACTGGAACACCTGTTTCTGCAAGTTCCCTCAGGCCCTCAGGTGCCGTGTTCGGAGCTTCCGTGGCAAATGTGGTTCCCTAATTGGTGGTAGGCTCGGCCTTGGTGGGGGATTTGAACAGTTCCTTTGCCTCTTGGTTTGCAAAATGGGAATTGATGCCCGCAACTCCCCAACCTCGTTTTTTGCGCTCACTTTCGCGTGCCGGATCGTTGCATCAAAGGCGGTCTCGGGTTTTTTGGCACATTGCGTTTTGGTCAAGTGCCGGCACAGGAGCTGACGCGCCGAGTGATTTCAACGAAGAAAGCTGATGGTAATTTCAACTTGTTCAGCAGTTGGCACGGAGGGGGTGATGCTCATGCGCTGTGGGGTGCAGATTGCGTTCAAGGATGAACCCGCTTGCCCACCCCTTGAAGTTGGATTGGGGGACGGGGGTTCCGGAGAGTTGTGTTTTCTTTAACCGCCGTTTAAAAGCCAGTAACTGGCTTTAGCTTCATTTGTCCCATTGGTGCGCTGTGCAGTTCGAGTTTGGTTCTCTTGGAAGGCCGCGAGCCACGCGGACGTTCAGACTGGCGAGCCGAACCTCGCCGATGCGAGGGGGAACGGGGGGTGGGAGTTGGCGGACCATGGTAAAATCCTCCACATACTCCATGTAGGTATCACAAGTACCAACCTTCGGCAAATTTGGAGGGCAACTGTAGGTAAATATTCTCCAAACATGGAGCGTCCCCCCAAAGACCTGGGCATTCGGTGGTGGGTTTCCTGACTCAAGATTCTCGGATCAAGGAAAGTAGCTTGGAGCCCCGGATCATTTTTCCTTCCAGCGCTTTCCTTGTAGGCGTGTTTTTTGCGTTTCGGATCTGGTTGGCTCACGCGCGGGGTATCTTGAGAGCCCCACCCGCGTCAAACCAAGCAACTGCTTTCATGGTTGCAAGTGTGCCGTTCGGGCCAAGGTCCTTTTCTGGGAGCAGTGCCGCAAGGGGTTGTGATGTATTGCGTTGTGAGGCTCAGTCACCCAAGACTTGCAAATGCATCTCTGGTGGCAGGACTGCGTGTGAAATTGCCTAGGTGGGTGTCACCCCAAAAGTGAAGCACTCCAACTACAAGGGGAACCCCCCCCCAGGTCATCAACCGGGGGGAGTTATCAACTGGTGGGTGGGTTATAAATATTTGCATTGGTTGTTCCATGTTTCTTGCACTTGCATCGAACTGGGCACACCCTTGTCCTTTGCGGTTTAAGATGGCCTTGTGGGCTCCTGGCCTGGCCCAAGGCGTTTTTGTTTGCTCCCCAAGTTGGCAGCAGGGATGCCCGGTGCAGGCAGAGCAGGAGATGAGCCGCATAGCCGGCAGGGATCCCAGGACCTCCCGGGCTATGCTGCTGGAAGTTGGACATTGGCTCGCACGTTGCAGTGCTGCATGGCACCGTGTGCATCAGGAATTTGATGGATTCTGACATTGGCTGAAGTTCCAAGCCGTTGGATGTTGAACTGGGCCAGGGGCAGTTTTGACCCCACATCAATTAAAAGGGGTTGGGGGACGCCTGGGGCCCTTCACCCGCAAGCTAGGGGGATTTGGCCCAGAGTCAGGGGCCCACCCAGCACATCGCAAATTCTGGAAAGTTGGGCTGCGTTGCCTTTGGGGCTGCGGCTCTGCCAAACAAGTATCGAGAGGAGCATCGAAACCCCTATTTCAAATTCTCAATGCTCGCATGGATTCTGATAAGAATCCAAGCCATACTTCTTGGTGTATTTGCCAATGAACTTGCAGTTCATACCAGGGCTTTATAGTATGTATAGACATACGATGGAAGGAAAATCCACGCAGCACCAAGTTGGGACGCATGAAAAATGGATGACGTGCTATGACAGCTGGGCTAAACCACTTAGCAGCTGGGTGATGGGGGTGACCCCCGGGTTCCATTTGTCCTTTATGGGGAATACATGGGAATACTAGAAATGGAATCGGGGGACCCCCACCCCCCTCCCCCTTATGGTAGGGGGGACATTTCTCCTTTGGTAATTGGGCCACTGAGGTTTGACGACTCCACAGCTTGCTCCGGTGCGCGCACGTACCGAGTGCCCGGGCTAGGTATCAAGCGCAAGCTGGGTGTGGCGAAGCGTTCTTTCAGAGGCAACTCCTTTCCCATTGCTTGCTGGGTGGGGGGATCTCAGAAAGGGTGACCTGCAGCGGTCGGCATGCAACTTTTCACTGCTGAGGCAAAACTTGAGTAGTGCAATCAGAAGGCAAACTGCGTGTAGCAGGGGGTGTCCCTGGTTGAAGTGGGGAATCAGACCACTTTTGGAGGGGCCCCACCGCCCCATTTCTAAATTGGGGTTGATACCTTGCACAGCCGCCGCCAAACTATGTGGCTCGGCTTTCGCATGTGCTCCGATGCTTAAGTCGGGCCATTCCTGGCATCCTCTAAGTCCTGCAGTTGGTGAGTGCTTGTATCTGGAGCTTCTTCATAGCGTTTCATCCATCCCCACTGCCGTTCGTCGTGGATTTGTCGCAAAATGATCTAGAAAGCGGTTTGGATGTGGCTTTAGTGGAACCACCCCTTTAGGATATACAAAGAGTATTAAAAGAGTACTAAACAAGAACCAGGGGGGAAGACCTGGTGAAATCCACAAAAAGCGCATCTAAACCGTTTTCTAGAAATGAGGCCGGGCCCGAGTGGACGAACCCGACGGGCGCGGCAGAGATGGCAGCTGGCGCTGGTTTTGGCACAGAACCCGTCTGGAAGCCCAAGAAGGAAAAAACAAGTGTTTCCATTTAAGTGTTCGACTTAGGTTCGGTTTGTTCTTTTTTTTTGGGGGGGGGAATTGGTTTGCAAGGGGCGCCAGAAAAGGACAACCGCCATTCGGAGGGCGACGATTTGCTGATTCAGAGTGGGTCTACTTCCTTAGCTGGGTGGGTCAACATGAAATGATGATGTGTTGCTCTACAGGCGGCGGATGGGTCTTTGGGATCCCCCCTCCATTTTGAGCAAAACAATTGCAACATTACTGCCAAGCTTGAGCTTGCCGTCGATCTTTTTCCATGGTCCTTTTACCGCTTTTGTGGATTTGAGAGGGGGGGTTAGTCTTTAACTTCTTGTGGCAACATTGTCGAGCAATAGTATGTTTCAAAACTGTACTAGTTGCATGTGCGATTCCCATCATGTGATGGTTGCCGCCGCTCGGAATGCCACTTCAATGGTGGAAACAAATACGAACCGCGGGTACAATGAGATGGATGAAGCAAGCATGGCGGTATTCAGAGACATTTGCCCCAAACAGAAGCCTTCGTTAGATGTTTCAGGTGCTGTCCCGGCCTTTGAACGAATATCTCATTTGTTTTTGCATTTTGAACCCTCCAAACGTGGCAATACAGCAAAGGAACAGCGGTGCAGTAAATCCACCATCTTCAAAACTACCTTATTGGATTCACGTGTGCCCCCACCTCAAAAAAATGGTGACGGTGTTTTGTTGTTGTCCCAGGCCCGTGTTTGTTGCCAGGTTCGGCCGCCTGTTTTTGGGGCTTTGCTCGCGGGTTCCCTTTTTTTCTTGTGGCTTGGGCATTTGGACGCCTGGTTCTCGTGCAGGGCGAATGAGATTACCCTTACCCCCCCCCCCCAACCTCTAAACCCCCAATCCAAACCACCTATTAGAGGGAAGCTGAGTATCACCTTGTCCCACTACCACCAAGTTTTGCAGCCGGGCTTCATTGTTGGGCCAACCCCTTGTACAAACATGTTTGCGCCACTATTGTTGAACCAACCTGCTGTGGGGTTTCCCTTTCAAGTCGACCGAATCGGGTCTGGTTGCTTAAGAGTCAAATTTGGCAACCAACATGCTTGCTTGCACACATTAATTGCGAGCCTTTGGGTTTGTCATGGGCCGGATCGATTCGCCCTGGTTTAAAAAAAAGGCCCGCCCGCGTGTGCCTGCTGCCCCGCTCCGCTCGCCTACTTGGTTGGTTGGGTGTTCAACCAACGCGGGTATAACTGGGGTCAACAGGGGCTACTCCACAAATGCTCACTTGCCTAAAGCCGATCTTTTGACCTTTTGGTATCCCCTGTTTGGTCCATGGTTTTAATGGTTGAACACCGAGGTCCCTGCGGAAGATGCGCAAGACCTACGACGGGCGCGCCGAAAGTGCCCCTAGCCAGCTGCAACGACCGCCACTCCAGCGCGAGGCCGATCATCTTCTCGCCTGTTTGAGGGCAGTTTCTCTGACAATTTTGGAACTCAACCTTGTTTCATGATGTCAACCCCTTGCCCACTATCCAAAAGGGCTTCTCCTTGGCTGAACCAACTGCGCCAGCTGAACAGAAAAAAGGCCCCAAGCAAGGCGGTTGGAGAAGAGGCTTGCCGCGATAGGCCACCATGCCGCTGCAGCTGCCCGGGCTACCGTCACGGCGCTTGGAGTGGGAAGCTCAGGCAGATTTTTGCCTCAAGACGGCGCCACCTGCACGGTGCAACCTCTTGGCGGTTATACCAGCCGTCCCCGAGACCTTTATCCTTTCAGTAAAGTTTAGGATTCAGCTGGAAGTTGGGACAGGATCGGCAAACCACAATTTCCAGTGGATGTGCTCTCGGGTTGGGGAGGGGAACTGAGGTTGCTTTACTGCAAGAGGGGTATATATATATATATATATATGTATGAATATATGTGATTATGTGCGTGTTTGTTCGCAGGGGCACACAAATTGCCCATATTGCCCCACCTTCCTTCAGGAGCGCTGGCTCGTCTTTTTGGAGCCCAATCAACTGGGCGCGAGGCCGGCTGAATGCGCGGGAAGCTGGCTCGCCACAGTTGGTGTTGCATGTATCCTTCGAGGAACTCCGTCAAAGAGAGCCGTAAGGCCTATGTTCACCATGCCAGCAGATGACACGCTTTCCTTTCGCGTAATGAGCTGCTAGTCAAGATGGGGGATGGAACACCTATTTGCACCTAACAGCAAGCAGTAGCCAACCTGGCAATGGCAATTTTGCCACTTGAACTGAGATCGTCCAGCTGGCCCATGATTAGCTACACACCTTGCCGTGGAACAAATGAGCCCATGACGACCCCTTGAGGATCAATTCAGCTTTGCTGGTTTTGGAGCTATTCAAACAAGCCTTAGTTGATTGGTGGCTTGGGGTTTTCTTACCAAGCCACCGGGTGCCAAACCACCAATTGGAAGCTGAGCTATTGCAACATTTGCAGATTCTTCCCTACACAAGTCAACCATCTTGGCACGGGTTTTCAGAGCTGCTTGGTCAATGTGGGCCCAATTCGGGTGGAAAAGAGGGGCCCATCCCAGGTAGTTTGGCGGGTGTCTAGGGGCCAAGAGACAAGCCAACCTAGCGTGTGGCTCTTCAGATCGCGCGGGGAGAGAGAGAGAGAGAGAGAGAGCGAGGAACAAAAAAAAACAAACAAACGCAACACGAGAAAAACGTGTGGCTCTTCAAGTAGTTGGAGTATGCATTGTGTTATCCCGGTTTGGCATTGGTTAAATATGAGCGCTGTGTAGTACTGCTTCAACCTTGGCGTTGCATTGCTTGGATATTGCGCAGAACTTGGATTTGGGTGCTGCATTTTGTTTCAACTCGGGGCACTAACGGCTGCTTGTTCGCTATTCCCGCTTCGGCTTTACTTGACTGAAGTGTGCGGCAGGAGCACGAACACCGTTGCTCAGTGAAGCGGCGGCCGTTTATCCAGAAGTGGTTCAGGAGGACTGCGGGCATTGAAAAAAGGCTGCTTCGTGCAAAGCGGCAACTGCACGTCTGAACGGCCACTTGTGCCACGGTCAGGCAGTCTGCCGTTCTGGGGTGGGCAAATATGCTTACGAATCCTGCCAACCCAGCGTTAGGCAAATACCCCAACAGAACATTTCGGTCCCTTGAGGTTTGCGTGTTGCTTATGCATCGTTTGAGACCGCTAGTCATTCGCGGGGAAAGATGCCAATCCAGAGTTCCACTGGCTGCACCGCGCAAACCGCCGGAAAAGCGATGGGCTGACGCATCGGTGCGAATCAATGCAGGGGAGCCCAGGTCGCGGATATGATTTTTACTGCTTTCCCCTGCTCAGGGCAACGATTGGACAGCTCCTGCCGCGCGACGCAGCAGGCAAGGCAGCCCAGCGTGTTTGCGGGCATGTTTGTGTGTTCAAATGGGCACAGGGAATTGACACCAGTTTCTTTCCCGGTCTTTTCCCCAGGCCATAGGTACCCGTTTTTCCGATGGCCAAAAGTCTGCTGGGCGGCGCAAAAACTATAGCTGCGGGAAGAGAGGGCTCAAATCAAGAGACTTTTTGAACATCATGAATATTGCGGGCTGTGCTTTTTTTTTTCCGGATCCGCTCTTTGGCGCCGCTCTGAAAGCTCAAAGCACAGATTGATTTGGCCCCCAAAGCAAGCGCTGCAGGTAGGGTTCCGATCAGAGTCCTCTGTGTGGACTGAAGCGCCAAGTGCCTTGCGTCGCCGTTAGGTGTGCCTCGCGTAGGATTTGGGTGTGGCATAGGTGAAGCGTAGACCTCGCACTGTAGCTGAGCAGTACCAGAATAAAATGCACTGCTCAAATGGCATGGCTGGTTTTTAAAGTGACTTTCACTCTTAGATTTGTTGGAAACAAATGTCCATTAAACCTACAAAAGGGGATCGACCTTTTGCCCAAGCATTCAAGGGCATCCCAGACTGCACGGCTGCACGTCGTAGATTTGCCAATTTGCTCTTCGCGTATGGGTAGACGGGCCCCTATCACTCCCTTGCATGGTTTGCCGCAGAACCTTCCGGGTTGGGAGATGTTGACAAGGGGAACATAGTATGAACAGAATCCTGCACCAGGTGGGATACATGAAGCCCTATGAACACCTACCAATGGCCACCAAGTGGTGCAAGACTTTGTCCATCAGTACAGGAAGTTGGGGTGACTTGCCTCTCAAGGCAGCGCCCAAGCTTCTGCCGTAAGCCGAGTGCGGCGCTCAAGGGGAGGCTTGCTTTTGAGTGGCACTTGCATCCTCTGCACCAGTTGGATGAGTGTTGCTTGGATGAAGCCCTACGACTACTAGGATAAACTACGTACCAACTGGTGCAAAGTTTGTTCATCCGCAGTAGTTGCCAATTCTTTTCATTGTTGGGGTGGTCATTGTGAACAACTATTGCTGCCTTCCCTGCATGAAGGCAGTTTTGGCTCAAGGCGGGTGCTGCCGAATGGCTCCGGTCAGCCGAAAGTCGGTTGGAGTGCATTGGCCCACTGCTTTGCAAGAGCTGCTGGCGCTTGCCAGGAGGAACGTGGAGGTGGTGGATGGGAAGCGGAAACCCATAGAGAATGCCCCTGGAACCCAAGAAAGACTTTTGGTATATGGATCAGTTTGTGCGGAAAGCCCAATGGGACATGACCCCCTGAAAACCCGCCACCCAATAACGACATTTTTTGGAATGGCTTGAAAGGACATCCCAAGGTATCACCTCCCAACCAGGTGGGGAGCCAGGCCTATGGTGAGCTTGTCTGCAGCTGCGCTGATGGCCAGAGCTGGGAATGGGCGCTCTGCCTGCTCACCGAAGATTTGCCAGGCGGATAGCCAGACTTTCTGCAAGAAATGCCATGGAACCTGACAAAAGTAGAGGTTGCCAAACAAAGATTCCTCTAAAACAGAGATAATTCGTCTTTTTGAGATGTCCATGGTTTTTTTGCAGTGGTGTAACTCTCACCCTCCTGCCCTTTTTGTTCGCCCTTTGGCGTTCCCCTCACTTCCCCTTCGCAGCCCGCGACAGCCCACGGGACTTCGATTCGGTGAGGCCAGGTCTACGTCGCGTTGGCCCGCGCCTGCGGGCGCGCGAGGAAGTGGCAGGCGGCGCTGCTGCTGTGCGAGGCCTGCGATGCGCGGAGCCGCGGCTTTGTGGCGGTGGCCGCCCTGGGAGCCCTGCAGAAGGCGGTCTGGGAAAGGGTGCTGAAAATTCGGCGACGAAAACCGGTGCGAGAGATGCAGGCCCCCAAGAAGAAAAAATCCAACTGGCGGTTTCCTTTGGGGACATTCCAGGTTCATTCCCTCATTCCTTCCTGAGCACCAGCAAGATGAGTTGGAGTTGTTTTTTTCCTGGTTCCCCTCGAAACCATGCAACAAGGGGGCACACATTTGTGAACGGCGTCCTGATGGACAAAACCCAGTTGGAAGCTGGCTTGTCCAGGGTTTCATCCATAGCCGGTGCAGGGGAGGTATGTCCAATCTGAGTAACCCAGTTGATTGGCACCCTTTTCCCTTTGTGTGGCGTGCCCAATGGGTCACCTCGATCAAGCTTGGCCTTTAAGGCTGATGCTTAAACCGCTGAAATGATGTTCAAACCACAAACCAGGAAGTGTAAAACCTTCGGCCTGCCTTCTGTGTAGTTAAACACCCATCCATTCACTTGTGCTTGGTGAGTCATGGGCCCTGTAGGCAACCTTGACACTATGATGCTCAGTCCGGGCCATGCGACTAGGAGTACGACCATGGCTCAAATAAATATGTGGCTAGTGTAGCACCAGGCAGCCAACAGGTGGTTCTTCTTTCCAGATCCCCTAGGCAAATTGACGGAAGACAACTACCAGCACCCTCAAACTACCCATTTGGGGCAACCCATTTTTCAAGTTGCAACTTTGAGGGTTCCAGGCAACATGTAACAGGTAAAGATCACCGCATTCCTTCCAGTCGAACCCATCGAGGCGTCGCAGTGGGCCTGGGCGCTTGAGATGCTGTCGATTCATCTGGGGCTCATTGCCTACAACTCCGCCCTGGGCGCTTGTGCCAGCGCTGGGCAGTGGACTCGCACCCTCATGCTCTTGAGCCAGGATCGGGGTGGGCCGAAAATCCCTCCATTTCCGCTATTTGGGCCTCCAACAGTGGCAGTTCAACTTATGCCAAAAGGACGTAGAGAAGGACCTCATCAGCTACAACACCGCCATCAATGCTTGCGAGAGAGGTCATGAGTGGCAGCAGGCACTTCTGGTCCTCCAGGAATCGGGAGGCATTGCGATGTTTTCCCCCGCCAATTGGACACTCAAGTCAACCCCGGATATGCCTGGCGTCTTTGCAGAATCCCCTCATAGATGGAGCGCCCCTAAATTAGGGCTATCCCATTGGGTCGACCGACCAAAACGCCCCACGCAGATGGTTCGTTAATTGCTTGGGGTAGTCCAACCCCTTTAGTTCCTTCACAATTGGCTATGACACTTGCTAGCGGACCACCCTCAAAAGTGGTTGCTGGTCACCTAAATGAAGTCCACCGAAGGATCCATACAAAAACCACACCCAAATGACACCCCTGCCAGGAATTACATGCGGAGTCCTTCCAGAGCGACATCTTCACATTCAGCTCTGCCATGAGTGCCTGCGCAAAATGCGAGCAGTGGCAGGAAGCGCTGGCCTTATTTGGCGACTGCCAATCTTCACAGGAGCCTCAGTCAAAACCTGGGTAAGTGAAGGTTAGAGACAGCCCCAACCATAAATAGGTCGGCCACCTTGGTGAGTCTTTAGCTGGTTTTGGGGTTGGTCCCAGTTGGTTTCTTTTCATGACGCAGGTCCAGGCCAACACCATTCTTCTCAGTGCCGCAGTCAGTGCTTGCGAGAAGGGCTCGCTATGGCAACAAGCCTTGCAGATATTTCTCAGCGCCGGAGAAAGGGACGTGATCATGGCCAGCGCAGCCATTAGCGCCTTAGAGAAGGCGGCGCGCTGGCAAGCCGCCCTGTCCTTGTTGTTCTCGAGCTTCGGCGGGGATAGAGATGCAGACCAAACTCACCAGGCAAAATCTCATTGTTCAGCTGATGATGATGTTGTTTGGTATATGTATCTAAATAGATCTTTAAAAAAAAAAAAAAAAAAAACTATATCACCTGTTTATATATATATATACACATACCGGTATATGTGACCAATATGCATCATTTGAGGAACCTTGTGCAAGCCAACATCGTGACCTACAACGCTGCCATCAGCGCCTGTGGCAATGCCGGCCAGTGGCAGCACGCCCTCGCTACGCTCCAAAACGCCATCAACGACCATCTGCACCCGGACGCGGTAAGCATCAGCGCCTGCATCACGGGATGCGGCAGCGCCCAGTGGGAGCTAGGGATTGTTCTCTTGGAGGCTTGAGCCCGGCGTCGGTGTTCGAGTCTGGTTTCACCTGACATTCGGGCCCCAACTCCAACGGAACCGCACCATATAGCTTCTTTTTTTTGTGTGTGTGTGTGAGTGTAAATTTGTTATTTAAGGGTACCTTAATATGGAGGAAACCAACAAAAGCCCTATTTCCCGCAGCACGCCCCCCCCCCCCCCTATTTTGTCGCATATCCAGTGGCCATTGGTGGAGATGAATCCAAGCAGGCAAATAATGCATCAGTTTGGCAGTGACTAGTTGTGTGTGTAAATATCTACCTGTTGTTTGTGGCTTTGCAGGACAGTCCGTTGCGCCTTGGTGGAGGTCCAAAAGGAGCCACCCAAAAAGGAATCCCTTCTAGGGGTTGATTCCCCTTTCTTTTCAGCCATCGTTCTTTTCAAAAGCCAGCCATTTTCCTAGGGTTTTGGGTTTTTAAAAAGATTCGGATCCCTGGAAAGAATGGAAATGGAAGTTACTGGATTATTCAGGCCTTCCAAACGGAGATCAACGCGGTGGCCTACACCGGTGCCATCAGCGCCTGTGAGAGGGCCAAGGCATGGCAGCCGGCCTTGGCCATTTTTGCCTTGACGCGACACCGGCGGATTCCTCAGGAGGGG